ATAACTTTAAAAATTAATATGCATGCATTTGTATAAGAAAAAATAGTTTTATATGTATTTAGTAATACACAATAACAAAATTACTGTATAATATATTCAACATATTAATATACCTCAAAAATTCAATGTTATCTGGCCAGGTGATTTTTAAATAATATAATTTATAGATTTAATCCTCTAATTAGAATATGTAAGTATATTAAATGCTTTTAATCCCTTAATAGCATGAAGAAAATCCTTTTAATCCCATAGTAGCAGAAGAAACTCATTGTTTCCTACAGGCAACAAAAGGAGTTGTGGGTCCACAATCTGTGTGGCCTAATAGTGAAACACTTGATTACTCATGAGAGTAAGAAATTCTTGCCTACCAACTAAAACGCTCGTGGTTCAAATACACCCAGTGACTCTGTAACGTGGCCTAGTTATGTCCAAATAAGCCAGAAACCTAACAGTAACAAAAGGTTCAAATAAGCTTAGTCAATGGAGACACAAGGGTCATTTGGTGGGAGTAACAGAGACAAGGGGGAAAAAAAGAAATAAAAAGAAAGGGACCATATTAGATAATCCAGTGCATTGCCAACTGCCTTTGAATTACCTTCAGCATAATTTTGTGTGTATTGTTAATGATATTGGTTGATAATTTCCAATTCTGTCTTCTCACCTGTCTATAAGTAAGTGATAGATGGATGGATAGAGTGTTAGGCTGGATTCTCGAGAGAAGGAAAACCAGTGGCACTTATTTGTGTATGTATATAGAATGAGACTTATTTCAAGAAATACCTCACTTAGTTGTAGAAATATTTAAGTCCAGTGTGTGAGTCAGATGAAAGCAGGCTTCTCCTGATTCAGTTAGCCACATGACTGATGGACAGGAAGCAGGATGATGAAGCAGGATGACCACAGTCTGGTGGATGCGGAGCTGAATGAATCCAAGGTCAATAGTCTGCTGCTGGCTCTTTGCAGTGGAGGGCAATACAACAGGGGGTGACAAACCAGAGGCAGGATCCAAATCCAGCAGTAGAAGTGAGCTAGCTTCCTTACCCTATCAATCTATACTAAGAATGCCAAGGCCCAGTGAAACCTCCTTCAATTGTATCAAGTTTAAGGAAGGGGTACTTTTCCCTACAGGGAGCCCTGGTAGTGTCATGGATTCAACAATGGACTGCTAAATTAAGGTCAGCATTCCAAACCACCAGCCACTCCATAGCAGAAAGATGAGGCTGTCTACTTCTGTAGAGTTATACTCTTGGAAACACACAGGGGCAGTTCTACCCTGTCCCGTACGGTTGCTAGATGAGCTGAAATTGAATCAATGATAGTGGGTTTGGATTTGTTTGTTTGTTGTTTGTTTACTCTACCCTATTCTTCCCAAAACTGCTTGGCTGCCTGACCCACCTAAATATCACAGATGATAGATAAGATATAGATAAATTAAAAGTATACATAAAACCTATCACAGATAGTAGATAAGTAGATAGAAATAAAAAGGTAATTGAAGAGATAAAGTTCAATACTGAAACATACTTGACTTGATTCAAACATTCAAAATAAGTCAGAAAGACAGTAATAAAGAACTCAAGGCATATTATAAAGAAAAAAATAAATAAAACAATGATAGTTAAAAAACAAATATTTTAACTCATAATTTATATTAAAAGTAAATGGACTACAAATTCCAAATATAAAAAGTTGTATGTCACATTGGATTAGAAAACATGCTGATTACAAATGGAATACTTAAATATAAATACATAGGTAGCTTTTGAGCAAAATTGTGGGGGGAAACCTTAACAATTGTGAATAGTGTCTGTGAGTTCTATGTGGCCGTTGCTATGCATTTTCAAACCCAGCAGTGGGATGTGGTGTCAGGTAGGGTTGGTATCAGAACAGGGTAAAAGAAGAAGGGAGGTAGAGACATATCTGACTTCTGCCTTGTGAAAATTGGCTTTGTGTTGGTGTGGACTTGGGTTCTCTTCCCTTGTGTAGCCAGAAGAAACCAGATATGGCCTCCACATCATGCACTCAGACATGCATACTGTTATTAGGGCACATAGGCTTTAAGAACGGAACTGCCAGCAGAAGAAAATAAATTTTGTACAGAGAAGAGGATCAATTCACCAATGAGTCACATTCATAATATGCATGTGTATATAAGACAAACACCTCAAAATATACAACCACACAATTGAGAGAGCTAAAAAGGAAAGGACAAAGCCATATTCAGATTTTAAGATTTTATTACCCCAATCATTAATGGCTACTTGACTGCACTTATCAACACAAATCATGGAGCTGTACCATTCTGATTCACGGATCTTACTGTGTATAAATCACATTTCAGTGATAAAGGGACTACAACTGACTTGACTCTAAGAGAAAAAGAAAAGACAAGAAAGAAATGAACCTAAATTAATGTGAGAGTTCATTTTTGATTAAATGATTTCTTGGTGTGCTCAACTGCTTTCCCCAATCTCTAGAGCCCCACTCTCTGTAGCGTGTCCAGAATGCCAAACTACTGTCCGTTCCCCTTGGATCCTGTCATGCCCTTCTGGGAACCGATGAGTTAAAAATTGTGATCCTGAATCAGGCCTTCTCCTGGGAAATTCCTCAGGGTCTTTCTACCTTTACAGAAGGAGGTAGTGCTCTGAGAACAAAAGTCAAAATAGCTGAAGCAGTACACGGTCTATAGATCAATATCAGGGCCAGCAAGTGTAGGGTAGTGAGGCCAACAAGACTCTGATATAGACTTATTTCTCTGCCCCTCAGTTGTAACATGGTAAGTGCAATATAACTCCAGCATAATATTGTTCAATTGTACGGTTTGTCTACTGAATTGTGCCTGACAGTCTCAGGAAGCTACAGGGGGCTGTGATGAGTCAGCTGGGACGCTACGGCAGTGACTGTGATTCAGGGAGAGGGCTCTGAATATAGGGGGAGCTCCAGGATTTTTACATAAAAGAGATAAAAACAAAGATTTATTTTTTAATGTACTAGGCTTGGGGGAACTTGTCTAGATAAGCTAGCTGCAGGCAAGCAAAGAGGCTTCCTTACTGTGAAAAAGAAGCGATGAAAATCAGGAAGGCGCGGTCCTTTAGGCTTGCTAGGAATCAGAATCAACTCCACGGCAGCGATTTTTTTTAACTTTCCATATTCTCTTTTAGTCACTTCTTTACTTTAGAATCATTCACTTCATTTATCTGTAGTTCATTTCAGACGTTATCCGGTGTCTTTTGCATGGTTAGAAAGCATCAGCTGGCATCAAAAGTCTGTGTAGAATAAGGACAGGGATACATGCAGACGATCTGAAAGAGCAGACATTGACCGCAGCAAAGCACTGTACAGACAGCTCGGTCCAGAAGTGAGTCCGTGAAGAACAGGATTCCGGACTAGAATCCAGGGAGAGGCTTTAGTCTTGGAAGATAGGACAGCTGAAAACACATTATGGCCTCACATTATTGTAAGAGGAACTTCGGAATAGGAATCAAAGAGCAACTTATTAATGCCAAGTGACTTCTGTGTTTGCACAGGAAGCAATATAAACAGTATAAGATACTGATGGACACTCTTGAAGGGAATAAAAATATTTAAATTTTAGCTTTTTACTAGTTGTTTCTTTTTCATAATTTATAAACTGTAGCAAATAATATTACCTGACTCATATGAATGCTTTGAGGATCCAAAAAGTTGCTGTATATAGAGAGTTTAAAGTAATGACTGGCTAAAGAAAGCATCTAAGAGTCGTAAGTCTATTAGTAGAACTGAGGAGGCTGTGAACGGCACAAATGGATGAGGACTTAGCTACTCACCTTGGCAGTCTTACTTAAACCAGAAGCAGAGTAAAATTTCTAAATTTTTCTCAAGGAAATCAACTTACAAAATTATTCTGAAGGCCCTTTTTCCTCATTCAATTTGTAAATATAATCTAAATCATAAGGCTGGGATAAACTCATATTCAAAAGTTTAATTATTAACATCAAAATGAGTTAAATGATGAAGGTTAAATTTTTCATGGTGTATCTAACCTTTCTACTCTCCTACTATCCCTCTTTTGCTTACAAGAAAATTTATATTCATTTGTCTAATGATTTCAAAGTAAAACTGTATAGAGACCACATTCCTCCCCCCACGTCCCCTGTGTACTATCTCTAACCTTGCTACCCACAATGCTGCCTGTGATTTAGTTGATCAAGTCCCTTCGTATCTATGAGCATTTGTCTTGGTCATAAGGAAAGCCCAACTTCCCTCCTCCAGTATTAAAGGAAAACATATGCCTAGATCACGTTTAAGAACATTTGATTTGTAACCATACAAGAAGATGCAATATTTACATAAGATAGGATCACAAGTCATGCCCAGATGGCATATTGTCTATCTTTTCTTTGGGCTCCTCCCTTCTTGAAGCTCGTAAGTAAAACCAACTTTAGAATTCAGACTTACTTCTACCTTTGGAAATTCTTGAAGCAGAATAACTCTAGAAACAGATGAAACCATTGATACCTGGTCTTTTACAAAGTCTTTCCTGGATTTTCCCTGTTTGATTTATTTGTTTCTTTATTTGATTGTTTGCTTTTAAATTCTAATCTATTTCTGAACCAGGTGAAAGAAGTTATTCCATTGTCCACCTTAAACGTATAACATTTTTCACTGAATTAGCAGTGATGGGAGCCAATTCTACTAGATAATTGTGGAGTATATTTGAAGAACACTTTTTTAATATGACTATTTCTACTCTTCCTAAGGACCTTCTGGAAAGTAATGGTTTATCAAAAACAATAGCTCTATATTTTCGGTTCCCTTGTCAGTTAACATTATTCCACTCTAACACGTAGCATCTGCTTAAAAATAAGAGTTCTTTTCTCTTCTTCTTGCTATGGAAAACCTTTGAAAAAATTTATTTTGAATTTGATTTTTCTCAGAAAAAAGTGACCAGACGAGGGAAGTGAGCACAGTATACATGTATCAAACGTGTTTAAGTTTGGATCTGGAGCTAGACGCTTTCCAACTGACTAACAATGCACACTCTCAATTCTTCTGACATTGAAATCACCACCTTCTTCCTCATTGGAATCCCTGGGCTGGAGCATATGCACATCTGGATCGCCATCCCTATCTGCCTCATGTACCTAGTGGCCATCTTGGGTAATTGCACCATCCTCTTTGTGATCAGGACAGAGCCCTCGCTCCATGCCCCCATGTACTATTTCCTCTCCATGCTGGCCTTTTCGGACCTGGGCCTGTCCCTCTCCTCACTCCCCACTATGCTGAGAATCTTCTTGTTCAATGCCACAGGCATTTCTCCAAATGCCTGCTTTGCTCAGGAATTCTTCATCCATGGATTCACCGATATGGAGTCCTCGGTTCTTCTGCTTATGTCCTTTGATCGCTTTTTGGTCATACACAACCCACTGAGATACAATTCTATCCTGACCAGTGCCAGAGTGGCCAAAATAGGGCTGGTATTTCTCATTAAAAGTATGCTATTGGTGCTCCCATTTCCTTTCACTCTGAAAAGATTAATATATTGTAGGAAAAGCCTACTTTCCCATTCCTACTGTCTCCATCAGGATGTCATGAAGCTGGCCTGCTCTGACAACACCGTCAACTTTTTCTATGGTTTCTTTGTTGCTCTCTGTATGATGTCAGACAGTGTGTTCATCGCTGTGTCCTATGTGTTCATCATAAAGACTGTGATGGGAATTGGATCCCATAAAGAGAGGCTCAAGGCCCTCAACACCTGTGTCTCTCACATCTGTGCTGTGCTCCTCTTCTATGTGCCCATTATTGCTTTAGCCTCCATGCACCGCTTTGGCAAGCATCAATCTCTAATGGCCATGATCCTCACTGCCGACATTTTCTTGCTAGTGCCACCTCTGATGAACCCTATTGTTTACTGTGTGAAAACCCGGCAAATTCGTGAAAAGGTTCTGGGGAAACTGCGTCTGAAACTAAGATAAGGGTTTGGAAAGTAGAGCTGAGTGAACCTGGGTCACAAAGAAATTAATATTTTCTATGCAAATTGTTATGGATGATTGATGGATCTTTGCTTTAATCATCATTATAATTGACATAACATAGGATTGGCTCTGGATTCGGTAAGATTAGGAGTGACACAAAAACTGACTGATATTGATTAGGTAAAACGATTCAACCTCATTAAAATCATGAATAAACACACTGATTTGAAATTTTAATTACATTGTTTAATTAGACTGCTCAAAAGCCCTGGTGATTCACATAGTTAAGAGCTTAGCTGCTCCCTAGAGAGCGGGCATTTCAACCGAACCAGCGACTCTGCAAAAGTCATCAAGTTTGCAGCTAAGAAGAACCTGCGGGCAGTTCCACTCTAGGGTTACAGTAATCATTTACGACTCAGTGGCACCGAAAAACAATATGACAAGGATATCAGTATGTTTCATTAGAGCGTTTATCACACAGACAATGGATATCAAATGATCTGGGTGGTCAAAGATGCTCCTCCAATCCACTTGCTGGTCCTCTTCCAGGTGGCCTCCAGATACTATTGAGTGGTCATAAGTTGAGTGGTCATAAGTCTTTTCTAGAAGTTCTCTGGGTTCACCACTTAAATGAAACATGCCCATGGTCAAATTCCTTTGGTTAACAATATTTTCCTTTCACTCAAAGAAATAGACACTGGCATAGACATTGATGTATCTTAATTTCTCAACAATTACATATAGCAAGTGATTATCTCTTTTACCTTAGAACTTGTATAGCCTGGTATGCTGGTGACCATACACTCTTGTAACATTTTCATAACACCAACCGGTTCCATTTACACATGCTTCTGGGGCTCCTGGAGAGTCTACTTACTGAAAGCAGAACAGATGTT